GTAGCTCTAGGAATTATCCTCATGGGTTCATTTTGAATTTTCTCTATAGCTTTCAGCCTATTGCTAGAAAGACTAATAAGATGCAGGGCATGGTAGTGGACTAGTGACCTGATGAACATCATGTAGAACATTTTAGCATATTTGACATTATTACCAATGTGCTTTAATACCAATACCAATAAGTCAGAAAGCGTTTTGAAAGGACTTATCCTTTCTTTAAGCTTAAACTGTAGTTCACTTACAATGTCACTATTAATATGCACACCGAGGTATTTGTATTGCATGCAGTTTTCAATGCGCTGATCATTGACTTTAAAAACAGGATTATTGATTTTTTGAGGGGGGGGGGGCATAAGGTACTGGTTTTACCTGTGGAGACGATAAGCTCACATTCAATACATTTATTTGCAAGTGTATCAAGGAGTGTCTACAGCCAGTTGTCACTGTTTGCAAGGACGCAAATATCGCCTGCATAGCAGGTGACAGCCTCAATGTTATTCATCTCATAGTTTCAGTGTTATACATTTGTTTTAAACTGATGGGGGTATAATGTAAAGAGACCTGCACATCTTCCCAAGGGGGAAAATAGTAAATAGTTTTATCAGGACTAAGACACATTCAGTTTCATAAGGTTATTCTCACAACAACCGAGCCACACACTGTAAGGAGCTTTTTGCGGCGGATTGAGGGAACAGTCAGAATTATTTAGAATGGATCTCAATTTAATTTTAATAGAGCTGGGGGGGGGGCCATTATTTTTCAAAGTTTGCACAAAACATAGTACTAAGTAGAACTATTCTCTCCTAAATAGAAGGTAGCGGGTAGAAATAGCCTAAGCTACTCTATCCCTTTGAGATTTTTTTTCTTGTCTCAATAAACATTCTTGAATTTGAATAGATCATTTTAGTTCCTTTCTCATGTTAACAATTCTGACAGTTCTAGGACAACGCAGGACGATGTGCTGTTAATAATAATAATTGACTTGTGTAGGTATGTCGGCTATTAGTCTATTTCCATTTGTTAACTACTCTGACACTGAAAAAAATCTTTCTAATGTCTCTTTGACTCATCTGGGTACTAAGTTTCCACCCCAACCCGTTCTCGCACTTGCTTACAGTCAATATTGACTTATTTAATAAGTGCATATGTGACATACTAATTGATTATGAATATTTTAGTTTACCTTGAAAAGCCCCTGTGTCCCCTTGTTCGTGTTCCACCCATGCTAAAGAGTTTATCTATGTCCACCCTGTCAATTTCTGAGAATTTTGTAGGTGGTGATCATGTCTCTCCTTACTCTTCTGTCTTCCAAGGACATGAGGTTTAGCTCCCGTAGCCTTTCCTCGTAGCTCATGCCTCTCAGTTCTGGAACTAGTCTGGTGGCATGCCTCTGAATCTTCTTTAACTTCGTCTTGTGTGCGCGTGTGTGTGTGTAATTACTATGTGTCTGCAGAACGGAGCTATTAGCTCTTGGGCCCCGCCTTTCTAACTAATGTATGTTTTCTCTATTATGTTTACTACATATTTTTCTCTCTAACACACGCTCACACACTCCCAGGAAGCAGCATCCCGTAGCAGCTGTCTAACTCCCAGGCACCTATTTACTTCTAGGTGAACAGGGCCACCAGGTGAAAGGAACTGCCCATTTTTTCAGCCTCCGCCGGGGATCGAACCCGGAACCTTAGGACTGCTACCCCCCGAGCGCTGTCCACTCAGCCGCAAGAGCCCCTCATGGCTGAGGTGTTCATGTGTATGTATATGCACACACATACACACATGTATATGTATGTATGTGTATAGGCGCCGACATTTCTATCAACTGTCGCGCCTGTATAGGTGAGTGTATATGCAGTGACTGTATAGTTGAGGTGTACCACGTAGAGAGACGCCCAAGTGGAAAGCTCTGACAGGACTGTCACGTTACAATCAGTCTCTCTGAAGTTATCGATTAATGGTCCATGATGAGGGGGGTCCTGTAGCACAGTGGTCTACGTTCTCGGCTCACACACACACACCCAGGGACTCGCGTTCAATCCCCGGCCAGGACAGAAGTGTTTGGGCAAATTTCCTTTCATCTGGAAGCAATAAACTTGACTACCCTAGGCAGAGCTGGCCCCTATAATGTTTTGTACAGTGGAAACAGCAGCCATCCAGATGAGTTACAAAAGGCTTACCTTGTAGTAGTGCATACCTTAGCCTAGTAGCCTAGTGTAATTACACTTATCCTAGTGTAATGTGAACTACATTATATGTTGCATTTATGGTGTCTAACGCCTAAATAAGCAAATAAGCAATAGTTGAAAATTGATTCGATTTCAATAAAACGTTTTTGACTAGTTTGTGAAATTGGGTTCAACTGGTCCTAGTCTCAGCATCGTAGCATAAATAGGAAGGGAGACAAAAATATTGAATTATGTGTGTCAACAATTTTCCAACATGTTTATAAATTAACATCAAACACAGGTGTCAACTGAAATCATGTCTATGACTCTATCACAATAGCATATATTAAAGTATTTTAATAATTAATTTTATGCCAAAAAAATTTGGTTAAAAAATATTAGATTTTTGTTTTTCTCTAATTTTTTCTCATATTTTTTATTGGGCGATTTGCATGAAACTTATACAACTGACGGAACGTAAACTTATCTGTAAGAGTGCCAATTTTGGAGGAAATTGGTTGACGTCAATCTCCCCCTCTCACCCCATAGTGGAGGGGGGGTTACACCTCTGGTTGCGTTTGTAGGGACGCATGACCTCGAAGAAGAGGATATGTAGCATGCAGGGGGGCGTACGCTCGCATGTTGTCTTCTACCACATCCTGTATATTATATATATTCGTTTTTTATTTTATTTAAAACTTCATTGTACAAAAAAAAAGGTTACAACATTGGTTACATGCAAGGTATAAGGCTACTTGTCACAGGTGGTCGAGTTCCTCCAGCTCCTCAGATGGTGGGCAGGACAGTGTATCACCACACTAAGAGGTGATACACTGTATCACCTCTCTCTATCACCAAACTGTTTCAATTAGCTTAGAACCCAGCTCCTTCAAAAAGCTAGCAGCAATTTTGCCCCAGGCATCAAGTGTCTCCATCAATGGGAACGAAATTGTGATTCAGATCTCTGGATTTACGAGACTTGGCTGCTTCCCTGTGTGGCACCAGCAGTGCCACCCGGATGCGCAATGCTGAACATGTTGACCAAGGTTAAAACACACATGTAGTCCCACACTAACTGCCTGCCATTCTTCCAGGGGGGTTCACTGTGATCCCGTCTGGGCCACCAATAAGAGCAGCAGAGTTACAGGGCGTTAGGTAATGGGGCACTCTCTCTCTGCTGGGCATCCAGCTGTTGTGAGGCTCCTCTTGATGATGTCGTTAACTTCACTGTGCCTCGAGTGCCATCCCTTTGTGCTTTGGAAGAGCAGGCCATGTTGGCTGTACCTGTCGGCCACCACCTTGCCGCAAATACACCTATATTTGGTGTGGATTGGGGCAGCAAGGCAGAGGGCCACAGCAATTCGGAGGGCGTGTGGCGTGAGACGCGTGCCAGTTGCCGACATCTGGGTTGCTAACAGGAAGTCCCCTGCATGTGGGGCTGCTACTGTTGTGAGGATGAGCAATGTCGTGTTTTGTTGTCGTTGCACCCAGGTACTTACTGAGTGCCTAGGTGCTGCAATAATATTGCACCTACTACTACTTGGCACCTACTACAGAATGCACTACTTGGCCTAGTGTGCAAGGCCCAATTTGCCTAACAAATCGAGTTTTCCAGAAATTTATTTTCTAATTTGTTTTTTACGAAATGAAAAGGCTTTCCATTAAATTATATAAGATAATATATATATTCAGGTAAAGGTGCATACATTTAAAATGAGTAACAAACATAATGTCAGATTAATAGATAGAGCTTCAGACATACAATGCTTGAAGGCACTAACACGTACAGCATTTCGGGCAAGGTGTGGGGGAAATCCTAAGATTTACTAAACTATATATGATTTTCATTTGATTTTTTTAATTTGAAAAACACAATTTGATTCAATATATATATATTATTTAAAGCTTCACTATACAGAAAGGGTTACAACATTGGTTACATGCAGGGTACAAGGCTACTTGTTGTAGCCTTGTAGAGTGTAGCCTACACAGGTTGTAGAGTTCCTCCAGCTCCTCAGATGGTGGGCAGGAATCATGGATGCAGTGATCATTTCCTCTCTGGAGCACCACACTAAAGCGCTAAAAGAGGAAACTGGCGGCTCTAGGGTCCTATAGTTGTTTCAATTAGCTTAGAACCCAGCTCCTTAAAAAAATAAACTAGCAGCACTTTTACTCCAGGGCGCCAAGTGTCTCTGAGGCAATGGGGAATGAGGCAAATATATACCTATATATATTTTACAGAAAACACACATATATAACAATTATCGTAAGAAGACCTCATCTAGCTCTTCGGATATATATTTATATTTTTGTTCCATAACGGCTAACAAGATTTTTTAGTCCTCGCCGGTAATGGAATGTTTTGCATAACTGACCAATGAGAACAATCTTCATTAGAATTAGCGATATTTTATTGGCCAAAATCTGTCGTAGGAGCAACAGGACTTCTGCGGCCAAGCAGTTTCCAATATTTATATTGCGGAAAGTAGTTTGTTTTATCATTAACTGAGAATGATCATAAGTAAACTACGGGGGTATTTTTTCCAATTTAAAGGACAAATTGTGCATATATTATGATTGGTAAACTGTTCCACATTCCCATTTCTTTAAAAAAAAAAATTGGGGAAAAAATTCTTGTCTGTGAGCTTGGCAACATTTCCAGCCTCGTACGAGATGACGTCACAAGTTATAGTGTGAAATGTCGTATGGCAAATTCTGGAATTGTTTAAATTTATGTAAGACTTAATGCACATTTGTATACAACAATAAGATCTTGAAAGCACTTTTTATGAATGTTCATATTTGAAAAGTCATAACAAAAGACGATGATAAGTGTTATTTATATAATAAAGAGAAAAAAATTGTTCAAAGTGAGGGTTGGTGGCAAGGAACGTGCGAGCGCGCGAGAGCGGCGGAGTGGCAGCTGAGGGCAGCGTGGAGGAGTGGCGACAGTCACGGCTGCGTCAGCGCCACGTGTAGGAGTATTGTGTCGCCGCTCTCTACCTCGCACCTGTCACTGGTCGTGACGCCCTATACACTCCACATGTGAGTGTATCCCCCTGTGGGGTCTGGACCCCGGGGGTCATAATGTGCTGTGGGTGTGTGGACCCCGGGGGTCATAATGTGTTGGGGGGGGGGGGTGTGGACCCCCGGGGGTCATAATGTGTTGGGGGGGGGGGGGGTGTGGACCCCCGGGGGTCATAATGTGTTGGGGGGGGGGGGGTGTGGACCCCCGGGGGTCATAATGTGTTGGGGGGGGGGGTGTGGACCCCCGGGGGTCATAATGTGTTGGGGGGGGGGGTGTGGACCCCCGGGGGTCATAATGTGTTGGGGGGGGGGGTGTGGACCCCCGGGGGTCATAATGTGTTGGGGGGGGGGTGTGGACCCCCGGGGGTCATAATGTGTTGGGGGGGTGTGGACCCCCGGGGGTCATAATGTGCTGTGGGTGTGTGGACCCCCGGGGGTCATAATGTGCTGTGGGTGTGTGGACCCCCGGGGGTCATAACGTGCTGGGGGTGGTGTGGACCCCCGGGGGTCATAACGTGCTGGGGGTGGTGTGGACCCCCGGGGGTCATAACGTGCTGGGGGTGGTGTGGACCCCCGGGGGTCAAAACGTGCTGAGGGGGGTGGGGTGTGTGGACCCCCGGGGGTCAAAACGTGCTGGGGGGGGGGGGGGTGGACCCCCGGGGGTCAAAACGTGCTGTGGACCCCCGGGGGTCGAAACGTGCTGTGGACCCCCGGGGGGTCGAGACGTGCTGTGGACCCCCGGGGGGTCGAGACGTGCTGTGGACCCCCGGGGGGTCGAGACGTGCTGGGGACCCCCGGGGGGGTCGAGACGTGCTGGGGACCCCCGGGGGGGTCGAGACGTGCTGGGGACCCCCGGGGGGGTCGAGACGTGCTGGGGACCCCCGGGGGGGTCGAGACGTGCTGGGGACCCCCGGGGGGGTCGAGACGTGCTGGGGACCCCCGGGGGGGGGGTCGAGACGTGCTGGGGACCCCCGGGGGGGTCGAGACGTGCTGGGGACCCCCGGGGGGTCGAGACGTGCTGTGGACCCCCGGGGGGGTCGAGACGTGCTGTGGACCCCCGGGGGGGTCGAGACGTGCTGTGGACCCCCGGGGGGGTCGAGACGTGCTGTGGACCCCCGGGGGGGGTCGAGACGTGCTGTGGACCCCCGGGGGGGGGGTCGAGACGTGCTGTGGACCCCCGGGGGGGGTCGAGACGTGCTGTGGACCCCCGGGGGGGGTCGAGACGTGCTGTGGACCCCCGGGGGGGGTCGAGACGTGCTGTGGACCCCCGGGGGGGTCGAGACGTGCTGTGGACCCCCGGGGGGGGGTCGAGACGTGCTGTGGACCCCCGGGGGGGGGTCGAGACGTGCTGGGGACCCCCGGGGGGGTCGAGACGTGCTGGGGACCCCCGGGGGGGGTCGAGACGTGCTGGGGACCCCCGGGGGGGGGGTCGAGACGTGCTGGGGACCCCCGGGGGGGGTCGAGACGTGCTGGGGACCCCCGGGGGGGGTCGAGACGTGCTGGGGACCCCCGGGGGGGGTCGAGACGTGCTGGGGACGCCCGGGGGGGGGTCGAGACGTGCTGGGGACCCCCGGGGGGGGTCGAGACGTGCTGGGGACCCCCGGGGGGGGGGTCGAGACGTGCTGGGGACCCCCGGGGGGGGGTCGAGACGTGCTGGGGACACCCGGGGGGGTCGAGACGTGCTGGGGACCCCCGGGGGGGTCGAGACGTGCTGGGGACCCCCGGGGGGTCGAGACGTGCTGGGGACTGGAGAATGGTAACGGCTTGTGAAATGACGTTTAGTGAGACGAGATGTCCCGTTTCCTGTTCGTGGGTTGTCTGGTAGGTTAAGATAAGGACACATTAGTTCTAACGTTTCTTGACGTTTGGAACACTGGCGAGAACATGCTGCAAAAACGTGTCTTAAGAGGTTACCAGGTATCAAACAGGAGCGACTCAGGAGGGCGTGGGCGTGGGGCGACTCCGGAGGGCGTGTGCATGACAAGGAATATTAGGTGGGGGACGGGGGTTGCCAGCAGACGATGGTCTGTCCTTGGCATTGTGCTGGTCACCAGACACTCCCAAGTGTCAGGCGGATGATCTGAGGCTCTACACATTATACCTTAATTAGTTCATTATAGACTGCCGCTCACCATAGGATAGGTAAGATATACACGATAAAGCTTCGCACAATGGGTTCAAGTACCCATTATGTACTGCTGAAACCAACTGCAATTACCTTACTCCAGGATGGTGAACATTTGAATTCTGTAAACTCCTACAGATCATATATTGGTTTTTAGTAAAGTGGACGGTTTTTCCAGGCATATCAACGGGGAGGTCGGGGTAGAGGGCGAGGAGGGTGTTGACATCATCACCCCGTTCCTAACGCCCCAGCACCTTGCTACCACCCCTGCGCAGTCCTACTTCAGTGTGCTCAACTCTCAGGTGAGGCTTGCTGCTTTATAAACCTGGGGCCTGATTCACGAAGCAGTTACGCAAGCACTTACGAACCTGTACATTTTTTCTCAATCTTTGGCGGCTTTGTTTACAATTACTAAACAGTTAATGAGTTCCGAAGCACCAGGAGGCTGTTTATAACAATACCAACAGTTGATTGGGAAGTTTTCATGCTTGTGAACTGTTTAATAAATGTAACCAAAGCCGTCAAAGATTGAGGAAAGATGTACACGTTCGTTAAGCACTTGCGTAACTGCTTGGTGAATCTGGTTCCAGGCCTCGCCAATATGAACAAAATTACCTATCCAAGAGAGGAGAGATTGAGGCGCAGAACAGCATCTTAGTATGGCGTGCTCTCTAGATTTATAGGACAATAGTGTAAGTCGTAAAGCCAACTGAGAGGACGTAAGGTAATAATGCTAATCTTATTATCTTCCTTGGTGTAATAGAACCCCATGAGCATCACACCAGAAATAAATATATTCAGAGATATTGTAAATCTGTGCAAACCCTCCATGCAAGTAAAAGAACCCAGTCTATGGAACACTCTCCTTAATGAATTAAAATTTCCATCCTATACTTTATTCAAAAGCAAAACCTAATTTAATCTTCATAATATCCCATATTGTGCTACTCCACTCGCTCAATTTAGTATTTCAGACATTCAACTTCAACAATATAATTAATTACATATATTTGTAATGTAGCAATTATATTTTAACTCTTGTTTTTTATTTTTGATTGTTGCCGCCGAAGGCGGCTAGTTTATTGTGCACCCCATACTCATCCTGTGAGCGGTAGCGCAAAAGCATTAGAGGGCACAAAAGGTCTTTATCAGACCTCATCTTAGATTATTACATAAACAATTTCTTCAATCCTTCACACCTTATAGATACAATGTCAGCTAGTTACAGAGAAAGTGCTATTACAAGAGCTACATATTTACAGTAAGTCATCATACATTAATGGTAGGTTTTATTGTTAATACATAATAGTTTGGCCAATGGGGATATTACAGAGTCATAGGGGAGCTTCTATTTATTATTAGTCCTCACAATACACTACTTGTTTCTGAATCTCATATGTCGTTCATCTACTGGAAGCAAAATGTGGGTACAGTGCAAGGATTTCAGGTAATTTATCCATGGTAATAAGATAGGTTGCCATATCATACAGAGTGAGCTTAGACTTATCTCTAGAAGGCTCAATTTTACAACAGTCCAAGATATAGTGTTCGAGTGTGTGTCCCTGCCTATGTCCACACACTTTACACTTCATCTAGATCCCTATACAAGCCGAACTGCCAGAGATACTTGTAGCCAAGTCTTATACGAGCTGTGACATCTGTTAGTCTACTGACTTTGTTACTTGCCCCATACACATGTTTTAACTCTTGTTACGCTTATTCCTTAACTTAAGGAGCTGCGGGAGACGCAGTGCGTATTGTGCTTTTTGCAAAAAAAGTTACTCGCATCCCCCCCCCCCCCGTAATGTGTGTACTTCCTCAACCCAATGTTCCTTTCTATTATATACAAATACAAATATTTATTCAGGTAAAGTACATACATACAAGGTGAGATACAAAACGTTGATGGATTTATAGATATAGCTAGTACATACAATGTCTAAAGCCACTATTACGCAAAGCGTTTCGGGCAGTTTATATTTATATAATCACGAGAAAGCGGTTATCCATAAGGACTATATATCACTTTTAAGGCACGAGGTTGAGGATTTTCGAAAGGCCCTAGTTAGACTAAGCAGTTTCTTGTGGTTCCATGTCATCCGTGTGTTTGCTCTATATAACTCCTATATTCCACTCTGTCCACCCATTTGGGAATTGTCTACCCAGGGGGCGTAATTGCTACTGGTGGAGCAATTAACGTGCTTCTTGAGTGGTACATAGGAGTCAAGGTGGGAGGGTCATTAAGGCACAATCAATCGTCTGGTCAATTTGGAATAGGGGTCAAGTGGGCATTAGAGGGTAGATAAAAGTATCAGTGGGTGGGATGGCATGCGCCCTCCTATGGTGACCTGCAGACACTTCCCTGGGATTCTTCTTGTGTCTATTCTTCAACTTCTTGGGCTGTAGTGGCAGTTTCGTGGTCTCATTTGAGTCTGCTGAGCCTCGGTTATAATTGGTGACCTAAATGGACACCATTTGTCATTGGAGCAAAGGAGCACGCTAAATTAAAATTGAGGCATCAATCCTTGCTTGGTAGAGGCACATGTGGCTTCTTCCCCCCCCCCCCTTCCCCCTTGCCACCTCTTGCTACACCTGTGGCCTTCCCCCCCCCCACCTCCCCTTCCCCTCGTCCCATCCCAAATCCTTATCCTGACCCCTTCCCAGTGCTATATAGTCGTAATGGCTTGGCGCTTTCTCCCCTGGTAGTTTCCTTCCTTTTTTCCCCCCTCCCCCTGCCACCCCTTACTGCACCTGTGGGGCCCCTCAATATCTTTTGGTCTGTATGTAATATTTATTGATGTTAATGTGTTATCTTAACAGCTTAAGATAGTAATTATATTATGGGGTACTGTGTTTAAAGTGTAAGTTTGACAGTGTGGCTGGACGGCAGATGATGATGGAATACTCAGCATGCTCAGTTGTATACAATATAATGGTTGTGTGTGTGTGATTACAGGAGTCGGTGGACCTGTACCACGATGCCTATGCCAGCCTCCAGCACCCGCTCTACAGCCACCATGCTAAGGCAGAGAGACGCCGGCACGCCAGTGTGGGTGCCACTAGAGAAAATGGCTCTGCTGTTGAAATGAGTTTGGTGGACTCCAAAAAAACGAATGGTTAGTTATAATGCTGACACACAAGCTTGGTTTCATTAAGGGAATGAAGTTTCATTAGATAAAACACATACCAAAGTTTTGGTGCCAAATCCCAAAGATTTGGTATCTTGTTCACGCCAAAGTATTAAATTTTGATGGGAAATGATAGTTATTCCTCAATTTCATCTTGAGGAAATTAAGTCAACACTGGATGATACACTATTTCCAGACTAAATTAGGTTGCAAATATACCATCTATATTGGTTATTATGATCATGATATATATTTAAGTATTTTAGGATGCTGATTATAAGGACAAATGAACAAGTAACTTGGTAATTGACCTGGGTATTGGTGAAATGAAAGTACCAGCACAATATTTGTCCATCACTAATTGTTGGTATGTGGTGTATACATACCAACACTGTAACACCATCAATGGTCTTTAATATTTCACATACAATGAGTCAGTCACAGGATATTGGTGGCACCAGGCAGTCGGGTCTTAGCATTCTAAAGTCACACCTTTCGAGTGTTAATGGTTCACTAGTTGAGTAGAGGTCAGGTAGCATCAGGTGACCTTGCTCTCTGCTAAGCTGATAATTGCAGATGAGTGACTTGGTTCCATCAAACAAACTGCTGTCTAGGTGTGGTAGGAAGATAGCCAGAGGCTATTTCCTGGTAGGCGGAGTTTAGCTTCCAGTTCCCCCTTAAAAAGACCACATTCTGGTCCTCTTAAGTATTGTGACCTCCTATTATATATTATTATTATTAAATGAACAAATCCACAAGGGCCATGATGAGGGTTCGAACCTACGTCCGAGAAGATCCCAGACGCGCCTTAATTGAGTGTGCTACGACATGGTTAAAAGAAATGCAACTGGGAGTTCAACTGACCTCACACAGTACTGTAAATCCCTTGTGGATTTGTTCCTTTGATGCATCGTGCTATCGTGATTTGTGTGTGTATATTATTATTACTATACATAAGAGTATTATCTCCACCCGGGTGCTTATAGTAGTGAAGAAGAGTGCATCACCACAATTACACAATTGGCTCGGCTACTAAAATTTGTATGCATTCATTGGCTGAACAAATTTTTGGTCAACTTGCAAATTGTACTCAATTACAATACTGTACGTAATGTTACAGTATTCGTGAGGAAATGCAGTAAAGCAAGACATTTTCAAGCAGCGAGAGCTTGCATACACAACTGTGTATGCATTATCTACAGTTCTCAAACGTCAGATTCATGGCTTGGATTTCGGGTATATCGTTCCAGATTAAATGACATTTAATCATTTAAATGATTATTTAATAGTGACATTTCTCAGACGATATGGTTTGAGTTTTTTGTGGGTACTATAATGTGTTAAGATTTAATTACAATTTGGAAATACTGTACATGTACATAATATTGCCGTAATATTTTTAATTCTTGTACGGGAATTTATTTTAATATTTTTATAAATTCTTGTTCATGAATCATTTATTCATTCACCTTTATTTAGGGTTCCAATCCTCAACCTGTCTTTATTTATACACAATTTTAAGTACAGTATAATCTGCCAATTTTGTGATCAATTCATATATGTTAGCTTCTTGTTTACCCTATCAAAACTATTAATAATTTAACAAATTTTAAGTTTATGAAACACTTTGCATATTATTGGCTTTATTAAATATTCATACTCTAATAATTAATAGCCAATGTATCATGTGTAGTATTATATAAGTTATATGTACTATTGATCGGAGGACGGTGGTCGGTTTGTCAGGATTAACTGGTGCTTTCATTCTTGCAGGTGTGTTGCCTCTTTTGACAGTAAGTGGTAGGGCTCGTCATGCAAGCTGTAACACTTCCTCTCCTGCTACCCACACAAATCTTCGAAACTCGTACAGCCACCCATACCATATAGGACGCCTCTCGCTCTCTACAAACTCGTTAAAGAAGAAAATGGATAAAGATCATCACTCGAGGAAAATGGGATCGTTACAGAAAATAGTAGGAAGGGGTAACTGGGACCCGAACTATGTGCCGTTTGTGGAAGTGGAGGTGTCAGAAAGTGATCCTGAGGCAAGGGTGCCGGAGACATCTTTAACACCAGGCATTAGGGCCCCACACCTAGACAAATCCAGCAACAGTGATACTGCCACCTGGAAGAGGAACTATGTGCAGTGTGTAGAGGCAGACCGCCTTTTGGGAAGGATTGACGAAGGCGATGTTCCACACTTGCAGCAGGAAATCCAGCTTCGGCCAGAACACATTGAGTCCTACAAGGACACCACTGTTCAAATGTACACCTTTGGCCCTGTAAGTATAGTTAAAAGTTTTTTGTTCTCAAGTGATCCCGTGGTCTTTTTTTTTTTTTTTTTTTTTTTTTTTTTTTTTTTTTTTTTTTTTTTTTTTTTTTTTTTTTTTATTACTGCGTTGTGTTCATAAAAATGTTGGTCTTGGGTACCTTCCCTTGTCTTCTATTATTAGTATATTCCGTTAACATTAACAATCAATTGAGCACATTAAAATAATACTGTATTCAGTACTCCTCACTGTTAATGTTGGCACACTGAACACGATACATATTTTGTTTACTCTTGGATAAGCAGTTCTCCCCAGCACTTGAATATGCAGTTCAGCACATTTGATTAGCTGTTAGGGTGTCTTGAAGTGTGCAATCTTCCTCCCATGGCCATAGAGCATAGCTGTCGGGACTTGCCACTACCCAATCATCCTTCTGTATTCCTCTGTATGGCTGGCAGTTCTTTTCCTTAACCTTGCTTCCCCTCCCCTCCTCCCCACTCTTGCTTCATTTTCGTTTTCAGACACTGAAGCAAAAATAGATATGAATGTTGGACCCCTACCCCCCCCCCCCCCCCCCCCTCCCCTCTACACATGCCTCCTTACCGAGTGGTAATTTTTTATTACCTGCTGACCTTCATGTGAAGCAGTTTTTTTTTTTTTTTTTTTTTATGTAGTTGGGGCTGGCTCATGTGTTTTTGTTTAGTCTACGTATTTTGTGTGCACAAGGCTGCTTGTTTGTCGGGCAGGCATGGTTCTGCTGGTTTTGTTGGTGTGCATTGTGATTTGGATGGGTATATGTACAGTATTTGTATTTGAATGCAATTCTAAACATCCATCATATTGCATCTGTACATTGACTTAAATACAGATGTTAATGTCGGTGTACATTGTACTGTATCTCCCAAGAACTTAATGTTTAAATGCTGTTGACTGAAAATAGTTGAAGAGCTTGTTCTCCTTGGCAAATAAGCTAAAAGTAAAGTAAGGTTTTGTACTAGCCCAAATTTAGTAAAGGACAACACTAGTCAACTCGCTGTACAGTATAGCAGTATATTGAGTACAGTACAGGTACTTCCTTTTAGAATGCTCTAGTTTAACATTGAATGTACAGAAGGAACCATTCTGATTACTTGCATGCAACTTTAACCCTTATAATGCTCCTGTCACTCTCAGATGATAGTGCCAGTGTACCAGTTGTCTGTGATAGACTAGATGTGTTCTATAATACAGTATTGAGTCAGACAGATTCTCTTGAGCGTCATTGGAGACCATCGTTTATCACACTCAAAAAAAAAAAAAAAAAAAAAAAAAAAAAAAAAATTTTGAAAGCCTTAGTTTCCTTCCTGGACCTTACTAAAAAGCTGAACACAATGTTATATGCATCACAATCTACTGACTTGTCATACTAAATTTTGAGGAGTATTATGGACCTGGGAGATCTTGATGACGAATCAATTGCAAGTGCTGTAGTTAACTTTAAAATTATTTCCCAGAATATGAAGTCAACATTTATTCACCTCACTAGAGCCAAACTAGAGTAGAATTTTTCCTGACAAAAGTAGTGTTGTGTATTAAATTTTGTTATAATACAGAGCATGGTTAAACATTTTAGAGATTAAAGTTGTATAATAACATTTTGTAATTAACAAATATTGTAAACTTAATTCAGTCTAGTAACAAATTAGAGAACTTCCATGGAGCTTGTTACTTTATTTTACCTTTAAACAATTGGGAAAATTTCTCTGCACTCCTTAACTGGCAATAGAACAGAATGTTATGACGACGTATTCATTCACAAACGTTTGGCATTTGCCAATCTAGTACAGTAGTGGCATGTGGTCCAAGCAATACATATCAACACAACTTAAACCATAAAACATTCGCTAAATAACATCCATTTTTCTTATTGATAAGCATGATCACTATAGTGTGTTCCTCTACTATGCTTGTGCTGTCCCTCTCAACAGCATATAATGCTGCCTTTCTTTTACTGCATTAACCAGGCATTACCTGACCAACCAGGCTGTGATTCATACATCAGGCTGCGAGCAGCTGCGTCCAAAAGCTTGGTTGACCAGTCTAGCAACGAGGAGGCCTGTTCGAGGACCAGGCTGCGTGGTCGTTGAGCCTCGAAATCGTTGCAGGGTCATTGTCGAACCATACCTGTGGATGCTGGTATGGTCGCATCCACTGGTTAATAGGTACTAATGGAAATTTGCACACGATTAACTTAAGAAATGTAGTATAGGTGAATGTTAAAAATTGGTAGCTATTAACAATGTTAAATATGTACTGGGTATAAGGGATAATACAGTACATAGTGGTACCTCAGCTTACGAATTTAACCCGTTCCCAGAGACGGTTTGTAACCCGAAAATTCGTAAACCGAAGTGAATTTTCCCATAAGAAATAATGTAAATTGAATTAATCTGTTCTACACTCCCAAAAATATTAACTTCAAAGTAAATTTTATACCTAATTCACCCAAATCTTTAATAACAAAAGTACTGTATGTACAAGTTATTGCTTATCTTTATTGATGACTCTTATTGGCGTATGGAAGACGGTGAGGATGGTAGGAGGTGGTAGCATTTGGAAGGGGAGTCCTTTTCCATTATAACATCAGGCAGTGATGAGTTCTCTGGGGTACTCTCCCGCCTTCATTTTGCAGGAGTACCACTAGGACCTGGTTGTGGCTCACTGCTTGCTTGTCTTACTAAGAATGTCTAAAGGCACTTAGTTTGCCTATATTTTAACACTTGTCTGAAGTGAGACATCACATTGTCATTTAAAAGGTCAATGCAACAGCCTGCTACAGCTTTATCTGGGTGAGTTTTTTTTTCAACAAAACATTGCAGTTCTTCCCATACTTCACACATTTTCTTTGAGGAAGGGACATCCTCTACTGCCTCTACTCACAACTATTTTCTTAGGTTGAACCTTACCACTGACACTCTTGGGACACATGGTGAGATATATAGTAATTACTTTCATGTTCAAATACCCAAAATTCTGAAAAACCACTGAAATTCATTACAAAGAATTAAGGCGTGATTGTCACTAGGCAGGAGGCACCGGTAAACTGAGGTGCAGTCGAAGTGCCACCACGCGCTAGGTCTGCCATACGCGTATCAACAAACTACGTTACCCGAGGTAATGTTCGTAACCCAGTTCGGATTTTAGCCGAGGTGTCACTGTACATGTTTATTTACTTAATACCAGTTGGCATTTATTTAATTTACTGTATTTTTATTGAGAGTACATAATATTGGTGTTCTTACATTATTGCAAAGCCACTAACATGCATAGAATTTCGTGCTGGTCCTTAATTTAATAAAAGTGAAAGTATTATTAGGTACAGTGTAGTAGAAAAATGTGAGTTTACCATAATTACAATATAAATTGATTACACTGGAGTTGCATAACTTAAATTCTAAAATTGAGGGAGCAGGTAGCACAAAATACATTGAAAGTTGAAAGCACAAATTAGGAAATTACAGTATGAGGAAGAAATTAAATACTTTTTTTTTGTTTTGAGTAAGGCATAGGTTGGACCATTTCTTTTTGGGTCATTGGAGTAAGTGCCATAGACTGGGTCATTTTATTTGCATAGTGTTTGCACAGATTTAGTCTCAGGATACCAAAGAAATTTATTTCTGGTGTCGTACTCATGGGTTCTACTACATTTATCAAGGAAGAGCTTCAGATCAGGGTTAGTATTTAGGAACAAGATTTTGTACATATACAATAGTTAGCACAAGACAATGTGTGAAGTGTATGTTTAGCATGTTTCAGGGTTTAACCAAAGGGGGCCGTTTTGTCAGTTTTGTTAATTTATAATTACTGTAGCTGACGGGTAATAGGCGGCGACTTAACACCTAAGGGTCGGCCTTAGGTGGTGTGGGGGCCAATTTGGAAATTTTTTTCCAAATCCATGTCGGAAGTCTGTCATCCTTCCCCTGTAAGGGGTATCTGACAGCTGGGTGGACAGCGCTTCGGGTTCGTAGTCCTGAGGTTCCGGGTTCGATCCCCAGTAGAGGCGGAGACAAATGGGCAAAATGTTTTTCATCTTGATGCTCCTGTTACCTAGCAGTAAATAGGTACCTGGGATGAGTCACAACGTGGCTAAAGTATGTTGACCAGACCACACACTAGAAGGTGAAGGGACGACGACGTTTCGGTCCGTCCTGGACCATTCTCAAGTCGATTGTGATGAGGAAGTAGATGCAGGCAATGAATAGGCAAGAGAGAGGTGAGGCGCAAAGTAAGGTGTAGTAGTGGGGATAGTGGTAGGAATAAGAACTGCAGAGGGCCTATTGGCCCATACGAGGCAGCTCCTATTATAACCACCGAATGAGGAGGAAATAGTAATAGGAATAAGAAGAGGATAGTAAGGGAACCTAAGAGAAGACAACGAACTGCAAAAAGAGAGAAGAAAGAAGAGGAAAGAGAAAGATAAATGGAAGGGTAAGCTTATGTTAGGTCATAAGCTTACCTAGGACCTAACATAAGCTTACCCTTCCATTTATCTTTCTTTCTCTTAACTTTTCTTTCTCTTATGTTTTGCTCAACAAACTTTGGACAGTGAAGAGGGTCGTGCATAGTGAAGGTGGTGACAGTGTAGAGGGTCGTGCATAGTGAAGGTGGTGACAGTGTAGAGGGCCGTGCATAGTGAAGGTGGTGACAGTGTAGAGGGCCGTGCATAGTGAAGGTGGGGACAGTGTAGAGGGCCGTGCATAGTGAAGGTGGGGACAGTGTAGAGGGCCGTGCATAGTGAAGGTGGGGACAGTGTAGAGGGCCGTGCACAGTGAAGGTGGTGACAGTGTAGAGGGCCGTGCACAGTGAAGGTGGGGACAGTGTAGAGGGCCGTGCACAGTGAAGGTGGTGACAGTGTAGAGGGCCGTGCATAGTGAAGGTGGTGACAGTGTAGAGGGCCGTGCACAGTGAAGGTGGGGACAGTGTAGAGGGCCGTGCATAGTGAAGGTGGCTGCCCTCTTCACAGCAACCACCTT